AAAAAAAAAAAAAAGATTAAGCATCAGAATTCATTAAGTTTAGTTATTATACTGTTAAAAATGAAAATCCCAGGTCAGTGCAGAGACTCAGTTCTGTAATCTTAGCACTCTGAGAGGCTGAGGCAAGGGAGGAGGATCTCTCGTGTTTAGAGAGTTCAAGACCAGCCTGAGAAAAAGTGAAGTACTGCCTTTACTAAAAATACAAAAATTAGGCTCAGCACCCATAGCACAGTGGTTATGGTGCTGGCCACATGCACCAGGGGTGATGGGTTCAAACCCTACCCAGGCCTGCTAGATAACAATGACAACTGCAACAACAAAATAGCCGAGCATTGTGGCGGGTGCCTGTAGTCCCAGCTACTCTGGAGGCTAAGGCAGGAGGATTGCTTGAACCCAGGAGTTTGAGGTTGTTGTGAGCTGATGACATGTAACTCTTATCTTGTAGAGATGTAACTCTACACATGTAGAATGGTTACACATGTGTAACTCTAGACATGTCATGTACAGGGTAACAGAGTGAGACATTGCCTCAAAAAAGAAAAAACAGAGCGGCACCTGTGGTTCAAAGGAGTAGGGCACCAGCCCCATATGCTGGAGGGAGCGGGTTCACATCCAGCCCCAGCCAAAAACGGCAAAGAAAATTCCAGGTCAATTTTTTTGTTGTTAGTACTATAAATGAATAGTTTGGTATTTCTTTTGTCTTCATTAGAATTTCCATATTATATATTGGCTTATGAGTCAACAAATGAAAATTTAGGAAGAACTAAAGTAAGAAACTTGCACATTTTCTCATAATATAAACTTGATATAACCCTTAACATCATTTTCTGAAATGTTGTCTTCCCTTTTCCAAACAAAAAGAGACCTTACCCAAGTGTATAAATACTTAATCATTTAACCACTTTTTTACCTTTTATTTCTTTTTTCTTTTTCTTTCTTTCTTTTTTTTTTTTTTTGTGGAGAGAGTCTCCCTTTATCACCCTGAGTAGAGTGAGTACCGCTCATAGCAACCTCCAACTCCTAGGCTTAGGTGATTCTCTTGCCTCAGCCTCCCTAGTAGCTGGGACTACAGGCACCTGCCACAACACCCAGCTATTTTTTTTGTTGTTGCAATTTGGCCGGGGCATGGTTTGAACCCCCTCCACCCTTGCTTGGTACATGGGGCCAGTGCCCTACCCACTGAGCCATAGGCGCCACCCAACTACCTTTTATTTTTTAAGCTCACCTATTCTGCAAAGATAAATGGATATGTTTTTCCTTAGTTTTACATTTATATGAAGCTGTAGCTTCCTCCATATGAAAAAATATTTATTAAACATCCACTGCATACAAGGAATTAGCCTAGGCTCTCAGGGATACAACAGTGAGCAAAAACTTTTTGGAGCTTAGAGTTCCATTGCATTCTAGATTAGTGCAATTTATTTTTTTCTGCATTTGGTGACATAGGAGAAAATATGT